GCGGCGTGTCTGTCCTCCACAAGCGAAGTATGCATACTTGGAGAAGCGCTTGGAGGACAGCAATCAATGCACTCAAAAGCCATTCTAAAACAAAACAGCGTTCCAGTTTGATCATGTCAAGATCTACATATCGAATTCAAACAGCAACATAGAACGCAAATAGGCTATGGAACCAAACACTCATCTAGAGAGTCAAGACAACTTATAAACAACGTGAATCAAATCAAAATCACTCGGTCACATCGCAGTAAACGAATGTAGTGGTGGGTAAAGGTTTTGTGTGCACTGTGCAGTGGTGTACTGACACATATTCAACCTAAATATAAACACGATGCATATAGTATATACACGAAGTACACAATATACAAAATACTCCATTAGATTATAGAGATATAATATATGAAGCACTGTTAAAAATATATAAATTTTATTCCGTTTATTCAGGGGTAGAAATATGAATGACTTTTGACCACTGTGTGAGCTTCATTACTTGCCATTTTATACATTTCAAATGTTGTACCACACTAAACAATTATGAGTAAATGTTTAAAACTGCAGATAAAAGTGGTTGTAATGCCTTTAATGGCTTTACAAATGGTTAATTTTAACCAGAAAGCCTCAAAAATTCCCTAAAATATCAGTAAATTGCTACACTATCATTATCTTGGTCCATTTGTAGTAAGTAAGTTTTATTTATAGAGCACATTTAAAATTCAGCGTTACACTGACCAAAGTGCTGAACAAAACCAATAATAAAACACAGTAAATTCTAAAATAAAGTAAAATTTAAAAAACAATAATAAAAAAAAATTGTAATATCGGCAATAACAACAGTTTCACATTCAATTAATAGCCCGGAAAGGCGAGAGGGTAAAAATGTGTCTTAAGTCTGGACTTGAAAATAGAAACAGAAGAAGCACAAACGCAGGGACAGTGCCAGAAACTAAGCAAGAACTAATAATTACTTGAATACTAGGACCAATTGTATCAAAAGCAAAATAATTTGAATTTGTAATAAGTTGACAATAAATTGAATTTGAAGATTTCGTCTGCATCACTAATTCCCTTAACTCAGAGAGAGACACCGGCTGAAATCCCTTCTTTGGACGCGCAATCGAGGAGGAGCGCAGAACTCAGCCGACTGCCACTGGTCCGGTATAATGGGCAGATGACAGGCATATCTCACATCCCACGAACGCCGAGCCAGGTATAAACCACGGTGACCATAGGAAATTTTTAGTGCAGACTGGTGTGATAATTACTTGATTCTACCATTTCTGATCTATTCTCGTATGCTAATACACTTTTAAAGACAATATGAAGTAGATACAGTATTTAAAATTCCTTTAACAGATTATTCTTTCTAACAGGAAGCTGAAGTACACAGCAAATGGAAGCAATGCTACACCTGATTGGCCGTACTACAAATCTATTGAGAGGATCTTGTCAAAGGTACCAGATCATGCTCATATGAGCCCACCGAACCTCTCGACGTCTGGCCCCTCCACCTCTCAGCTCGAGACTTCTGTGCCCCAATCAGCTCCACCAAGTGGGTTTCTACCCGAGTACATGGGTTCCTCAGAGGAGAGAGAAATTAACGATGAGGAAGAAGGCCTAACAGAGAACTCTGAGAGTTCTTTTGAGACCAGGTAACATGTTCAATCTGATCACAGATCCATTTCAGAATCATAATTATGGAATTATAAGTGCATGGTTGTCCATCTGCAGGTCACAGCCACATAAGAGGCGGAGGCTTTCACATGTGTCACTGCGCCGAAAGAAGCTGCGTGTCCTGGACGCAATGCTGCAGGAGCAACGCAGGATAAGCCGTGCCGTTGAGGAGGCCTGTCATGAAGTTCGCCGCGTTATGCATCAGCAGAACTTCCTGCAGGTGCAGAGCCTCCAGCTTCAGGAGCGAATGATGAACCTCCTGGAGAAGATGATTCCTGCTCCGTCTGCCCCTTGTTGGCCAAACCCACCGGCCTCAAAGGGTTTAGGAACGCCTACTGAGTGACAGGACCTCAGATACGGGATAAGGACCTTTTTTTGTCTTTGCTGAGGAAGTGTTGCTATGCTATCCAAGTATAAAAGCTATAACCAACTAGTTAGTGGTACATTTTAGACCTGTTAAGCACTGTTAAGTCTTCTACAATAAATATGTTTTTCAAAAATGTTGACAGATGTAACCTACAGTACAAAAGAAACTTTTGAAGAAATCACTATTTATCCACATCGGATTCCAACTATCTGAATCTAAATGTAGTTCTTTGTGTCTCAAAAGTTAAAAGGTGATTATGTGACACAAAATGTGTTATGAAGTCTGATTCATTTGATTTCTAAATTGCTGTGTTAGCTGCTAAGAGACTTAAATTCATGGCTAATTATTTAGACAATGTAATGTCAGTCATGGTTGACTGACATCTAAAAGATTTCAGATTTATTTTAAGGCATTCTTTAAAAGGATACCACGTTCAAGAAAACTCCAGAAGGGCGGAAGTTCAGGTCAGACAGACTACACCAAAAGGTTGGTGATAATGTAAACTGGATTAGGCTGACAAGGATTCAAAATGGTAGAGGACAGTCTTAGTTTAGTTAGTACCATTACAGTTCAATGTTACCATTACACTGTTATAGCATAGCACAATTTAGCAAAATGTAACATGTTACTAAATGTTACAACATGCAATTGTTTTGGTAGCAGTTTGTATGCTGACACTCATATTTAGCTTAGATCTGTTAATATATATATAATACACCCCTTTTTTAATTTCTGAATTAAAAGTAATTTTGATATTTTTGTCAGATGTCAAAAAATGTCTAGGCGGTGCAACTGTCCAAAGATTGTAAAAGAGAAAAAAAAGTGTCATTAAAAAGTTGAATTCTTGAGAAAAAAAAATAAAAATGTTGGCATAAGGTAGTTCGGAATAATCTTTTATTGTTCCTTTTTTATTTATTAAAAAAAAAAAAAGGGAATCAATATTTGTCTGCCAAATTAAAGTCAGTGACTGAGCTCAAAATAGCATACTACCCATACATGTTTTTTCCAAATCTCCTTTTTATCATCTTGGACTATCCTTATTTGTAACTCAAACTTAAAGACTCCCAAAAGTGGTCAGATAGATTGAACCTGACTTGCACCCAAACATTATAATGGTTAATGGACCACCACATGCTCTTTAATTCTTCTTAATGTGCAGACAAGATAGTTAATCCTTTCTGCTGTGCCTTAAATTGTGCACATAGTAATTAATAGCAACAAACGGAGTACAAATATGAATTTGAACGCCTCTCTTCTTTGTCTGTGATGAACTGGCCTGTCAGGGCTTCACAAAAGTTATCTGTTGATAGGAAGAAAGACGTTAGTGCTCAATGACCTGGGTGTGGTGTCATGAATAGAAATCATAATTTTTAAAAATGGACTGTAAACTTGTATTTTACGCTTATATAAATCAAATTATTGTATTTATATTACACCTCCCGAATACAAATTTTAGAAGCCGTTTGTAAACTTGCCATATTTTACATGTAGTACTGCTGTTTTAAATACTTAATGTGTCTGTAATTCAATACATTTACGTTAATACCAACAGTCGAAATAATCCTCTACTATTCAGTGCACTCTGTCACAAATAACAGTATTAGTAAATAGTAAACACTAAAGTAAACACTAAGAGTAAACAAACGGCATGGTTTTTCCAACCGCCAATGAGAGCGCCGTATATATTTGAATATTGAACATGATTGACACGTCCGTTGACCAATGAGAGAGCTGATATCAGTTTGCAAATGTTACGGTGCCATAGCGACAAGAGAATGACGCTTTGTATTCCCAACAATAGTGAATGGCAGTGGTTCAAGTCCGTCGCGCGAAGGGAGTTCCGAAATAAAAGAAGAAAAACTTTGGAATTAAAAAGAGTGCAGGTAAGCGCCGGCATATACATTTGCTGTTAATAAATACGTGAACTTTAAGTGAAAGAGGTGCTTTTGGGACGCAAGCTTGTTTACATACTGTGAATGAAGTGTTTGGCGTGACACGAGAGCTCAGAACAATCGATAGTTTTGTATCTGTCTTTTCCTTTGTAAAAAGATCATCAACGTTCATCATTTTTGAAGAAATTAGATTAAAGCAGTTCAATTTATCCAATTTATCACAATTTGAATAACGTTTTTTATTATTTATTTAGTAGCCCTGCGTTATGAATAAAAAAAATACGAAATGCAGTTCGTAAAATGGTTATAGAATATTATTATATTATTATATGATATATATAAATAAATATCACATATATCTATATAACTTATGGGTTCAGAACACTACATGAAATAAAATGAAGAAACTTTGTTTATAATTGTTTAAAATAATTTAATAACATGCCTCTATATATATATATATATATATATATACACATACACACACACACACACATAAATATAAAATGTAATACTTTTTACCGGTATATAAATGTGCTTATAGCTTTTAAAAGCTAAGGTTTTTCATCAGATTGATGCATCTGTCATTGTGTAAAAATTAACTCTTTACAATTTGCTCTACAAATAATAGAAATACGAGGAGAGAGGTGTTGGGTTGAAAAATAGTCTCCCTGTAGGCCACCACTTTAAAATCTGTAATGTTTGTGTGTGTGTGTGTGTGTGCGTCAAGGTTTATTTCTCTATTATCATTGTACAAATTATAATTGATTCTGCTATTTTTCTGTTTTCACTGTGAAGCTTCTTTGACACAATGTGTATTGTATAAAGCGCTATAGAAATAAAGTTGACATGACATATATTTGCAATCTTAATAACTATTTAAACAAATGAAAAGTCTCATATTCTAACCTTAGTCATTTTACTCCCCTCAGGTCTGATCCTTAGCAGTGCAGCAAGATGATGGTTCATGGTTGGAACTATATCTGAACGAAAGTACTATACCATTACAAAGTGCTACTATTGTGAATTCCAGCACCGAAATGAGAGTTTTGAAGCCAGTTGACTCGACAATGAGGCATCTGGACCGTCCGACCAGCCCGGCGGTCCGCAGGGTGGAGATGGAGCGTGGCAGAGCTGGCTACGGATTCACCATTGCCGGCCAAGCACCTTGTGTCCTGAGGGGAATAATAAAAGGGAGTCCAGCGTACAGTGTCGGATTGCGACCTGGAGACCGCATCTTGCGTGCGAATGATACAGATGTGTCTGAGGCGTCGCATGAAGTTGTGGTGAAGCTGATTGGTACGTCATCACGGTCACTGTGTTTGCTGGTCACATCAGGTGACAGGCCACCCATGGCCTCCTGCTCCAGTGATGAGGAACTGGGTTGTCAGAGTAAGAGTACACTGCCGTGGCTCAATCCTGGAGAAAAGTATCCTTTCCCCAAGAGTAGAGACATGAGGGAGCCGATGCTTCAGTCGGTTGGAAGTTTTGATACTGTCTTTGAGATCTCTGATCAGGACACCATGACCGCCCATCAAGAGAAGCAAAAAAAACAAAGACCTTTGTCTGAACCAGATATGTCTTATTGGCTGCAGCAGCGTAGATCAAAAACCCACGCCTATGGTCTTTCACAGGATGACACGTCTCGAATCGTAAGTGAGGATTCTGTGTTTTCAGACCTTCAGAATCAGAATGATTTTGTATCTGACTCCAGCATCCTGAACGTTGCAATGATTGTGGGATACATCAACTCCATGGAACTGGAGCTAGTAACGTCACAATCTGAGGAGGAGGCATTGCAAGCCATCCGTGAATGCATCAGTCAGATCGGTATTGAGCAGAAGACCCATTCGCTGGTCATGATGAGGGTCAAATGCAACTGTGTTCAGCTTTGTGATGACCGAGATGTCGTTCTAGCATCTTACCCAGCGGAGAACCTGGCACTTTGTGTCATTTGCACAGAGGACAGCAGGTTCTTTGGCCTCGTCTCGGTTGATTCGACCAAAAATATTGACACTGGGATGCAGACAAGCACCCTGAAGACATTTTGTCATGTCTTTTTCATAGATCCGGAACTTTATGAACACAAGGAGCACCAAAGCATCACAGGGCACTTTGAGATTCCCTGCACTCCGGATCCAGACACTCAAGGCTGTTTGGAGTTTCCTCAAACTCCACACTCGATTTCTCACTTTGTGTCTGTCCTCTATACCGACATGGGAGACTATATCGAAAAATTGAGACTGAAACTTGACCGCGAGAATCCTGAAGAAGAACCTCAAAGCGCATGTAACAATGGCAGTGGCAGCGACAGTGGGATTGGAAATGCTTCGCCAGAGGATAGAGACAGTCTCATTGGCCAGTGGAGCTTCACATCTCCAAATATTCCCAACCCACCACCACCATATTATTCCCAGCACAGGAACAACACACTTCTCAAACCGGAGTGCAGGTGCCTTCTGTCTGAACCTCTAACAGGAGCTGCTCAACCTGCAACTCAATCAGGTGTCTCAGCCAGGGCAGATAGTTCAGCTTTTACTCCTCTTCCTCTTAGTATACAATCTAACTTGCCACCTAAACTGAGAACCAGTCAACGCAGACCTTCCATTGGCTTAAAGGCTCGCTGGCAGAAATCTCGTCCCAACAGCATTGAATGCTTGGTGGAGAGGGACATCGATGGGCCCACAAATAAAAGTAGCATCCTTCCTCCTGCTATGGAACAAATCCCGACTCTCAGATACAAACCACTAGAAGATCTCAAACATCCTCAGAGAATGAACTTCACCCCACAGCTGACCTCCAGGTTCTTCAGTAGTGCAGCCAAGCATAAGGATAGGGAAAATAAGGTTAGAATAAAACAAATATCTGCTGACTTGATGTCTGAATCTGTTCTAATACTGCACTGTATATAAAACCCATGGTCAACATTCAACTATGCACTTGCTAGGGTATTTGTGAAGTTGGCGTATTCAAGTTGGTTGCTACTGGTGGTTTGCTAGGTGTTTTTTAAACATTTTTTTAAAATAATGTAATTAACCTTAAGTATGGGTAATAATAATAGTGATGCTTACACCAAAATAATTTACAATATAATATTACAATGAGCTTTTTACTGCTTGTCCACTATTGTTTTATTAATCAAACGAGACAATCTTTGCTGTCTGCCCAGCGGTCAATCTTATGGCAGGTTTATTGCCAGTTTGCCACCATGCTAAGTTAAAGGGCTTAATACAATGAGTCATGGAACAGATGGTCCTGCAAGTAACAGGCACAGCAGATGGAGCTATTGGGTTGATTAGTGCAGTTCAATATGATTACTGTGGATGGATCAGCTTTAGCTCTATTAACAATGTCAAGAGTCACCTAGCAACAATTTTTCAGCATGTGAAGGAACAGAAGAATATTATTTCCTTCCTTTCACTGAGATGATTTATTGTTGGGTCATCTGTCTCTCTTTCTTGATGCCTAAATTTTAATTATGTATTGGAAAGTATTTTTTTTTTAGATGTAAACTGCTTCTAAAATTAATAAATAAATAAATTAAAACATTTTATTTACTAATTTACATAATACATTTTTTAACCAATTGTAATGTCAGTGGTGTTGGAGTAATATATCAACAGTTATGTGTTACATTCATTTTGTGAAAGTACATAAAAAATATAGGAATTTTTGGAAAAGCCATTTTTAATTTTCAGGGCAGTTACCATGTTATAGGGCTGTGCAAAAAATTGCGTTATAATTTTCAAAATAGTAATTAGAGTATAGTTACAAGCCGTAAAAAGGATGTTGCACATGCGCTGTTGAGTCAAGTGCCTGTGGATTAGAGACCTACTCCCGCGAGACCCGACACAGAGTGCGTCGCAGGACAAGATGAGCGAGTGCTGGTGCGGGCGGGTAGACACTCGTGTGTGCGGGATGCGGGAGAATAAAATGATTCACGGGACTCCCGCAAAAAATATCTAAACATAAAATATCTAAACAAATAAATTGTTATTTATTCATCTATTGCACAAAAGCAGCACAAACGAATATAAAATATAAACGATTAACAGGTGCAAGCGTATGCAGAGTTTCTATTTAGGCTATAACACGTGTTCGCTGCGTTGAGCAATGCAGTGCTGAAATCTGCGTGCTCACGAATCCTCTCATTATAACACACGAATTGCATAATCGGCAATGAATCGCCTGCGATTTTGAATCCGATTTTGCATAGCTTGTCAGTGATCTATGGCTCTGTGTGGTAAATGCAGCTCCATCTGAAAGCACGTGCTGGAGATTTACTACTAATCACAGAACCGCCTTTACTGACGAGATGAGCATGAAAATCGCATTTTATTTTTTGCACAGCCCTAGTTGGACAGGAATCAAAAACTCTCCCAGGCAGAGTGGAGACAGAGCTGAGGATTTATCTCTCTCATTCTCTCTGTTTACCACCATCAATTCATTCCCACAGTTCAGCCAGTCTCACGTTTATCCATTTCCAGCTAGACGGTGCGAGATGAGCATGAAAATCGCATTCGATTTTTTTGCACAGCCCTACCATGTTATGGTGTTTACTGTCAATAAGATAATGTATTAAAATATTTATAAGTAATATTACGGTCAATTGTAACAAATTAGGAGTAACAACTTATAAAAGAGCATGGTAGCCAAGTGTAAATTATTTTGTTATTATATATTTTTTTAATTCCACAGTTATGTAGTGGGATCTGGAATTAATAAATGAGGTTTTTTATTTATATGGAAATGCCACTCTATTGTAAGACACACATTACTGTTAATCACATTTGCTGTGGCAGTCTCTTTTATGAAATTACAAAGGATTGTATATCAACTGTAATCATACCTCTAGTTAATTTGTCTTCTCAGGGATCCTTATTTTGGGCACTCACAAGGAGACGTTCCTCTGTACGAAGACCATCAGGTCCGGCTAAACGACTCAGTCTGGCTCATTCTCTTAATGACCTTGAGGTAAGATATAACAGTTTCTGTTTTGCCTCCAAAGCACCCTCAGCATACTGTTAAATCATAGTTTTTGTAAGTTTTGTATTTGCTGCAGTGCTCATGCATTATATGACCGATGAAAACAGAGATAGGCTACAGGTGTGGGTGTGTTTAATTGTTTTGTTATCAGTAGGGTCAGTCAGACTGTATTATGCTCTAATCCAATTCAAACTCTTGCTTCTTTCACTTGAGAAACTCGTTTCTTTTCTCTCTCTAAATACACAGAATGGCCCTTGTAGTGTTGCATTATTCTGAAGCACAATCATGTTTTTCTATTTTCAATAGACAAGGATAACCATGAAACTATTATAAGCTCGTGGTACTCTGCATGATAATGATGGTACCATTAGTATCCTCTCCCAAATGTAAATGGGATTTTTGTGTGGCTGGGCAGTCTGAAAACACACATTATTTTGAGCTTCAACCTTCACTACACTTCTTTTTTTAATCAGTTTTGCTGTGTTCAATTTGCACTACTCCTTTTTATATGACAATAATTTGTAGTTCCAAAAAGGTTGGAAAAACTATTGAAGCAGATTGTGAAGTCATGTGGTAGTTTTGTGTGACAAACAAACTTAGCTTTAATTAGCTTTAAGTTCCTATTCAGTGAAAACCTTCCCCCCAGTCACTAACTTGATGTGATGTGTGAAAAGACACCATATTTAATTTAAAAGCTATGGTGGAAAGCAATGACTTACGAATAACAAAATTTCAGTCTATTTGTTGCGTAAAGCTATCTTATGGCCTTAGAAGACAAGGAAAGAATATAGTGGAGAGGAATACACTGCTGTTCAAAAGTTTGGGGTCAATGTTTTTGAAAGAAGTCTCTTATGCTCATCAAAGCTGCATTTACTTGATCAAAAATACATTAAAGGTGCAGTAAGTGATTTCTGAGAAACACCGTTGATATTTAAAATCCCCAAATCAAACACGCCCCTACCCAAAATGATCACACCTTTATCTTGATAGCTTCACCTCTAAATTCACCAACATGCTATGCAACACAGGCAACTCTCCCATCATGAGTAGACACTTCCCTTACTGCTGATAGGGTAGAAGTGTGTTTTGGTGCTCGGTCCAATCCACTTTCCACAGCGTTTCACAGCGTTACTTTGATCAAGTAAATGCAGCTTTGATGAGCATTACTGCACCATTAAAACAGAAAAAAAAACATTGTGAAATATTATGATTTAGAGGGGTCATATGATGTTGCTAAAAAGAACATTATTTTGTGTATTTGGTGTAATGAAATGTGTTTATGCGGTTTAAGGTTAAAAAAACATTATTTTCCACATACTGTACATTATTGTTTCTTCTCTATGCCCCGCCTTTCTGCAGCTTTTTACAAAGCTTATCGGTCTGAAAAGCGAGGTGTGCTCTGATTGGCCAGCTATCCAGTGCGTTGTGATTGGCAGAATACCTCAAGCGTGTGACGGAAATGTTATGCCCCTTACCATATTGTGATGCCCTGTCCAGCCGGAGCGACGAGACAAAAACATTAAAACCCATTATAAACAAGGCATTTGTTGCATCCAGTGGGGACATAATTAC